AATTTGGGGAAATTTGTAACGATGAAATACGTGTACTGCTCTGTACTGCGCACGTACTGCGCATGTACTGCGCATGTATTGCGATGCGTCCTTTGCGGCAACAACGTTCAAGTGCTCACTCTCGCCTTCATGACATTTTCTCTCTTTGATGCTTAGGGCTTCCCCACTGAGACATTACGAGTTCGTTGGACACTAATGTTTCTCTCTGCTGATACTGTTTGGGACCCTACATCGGCTCTTGCTGGAAAAGGGCCCGCCATGCTCTCCGATTTGCGGGGGAGTCCCTTTGTTCGAACTATCGTGTAATACATTGGAATATTAAAAAAAAAACATTCAAGTGCTGGGAAGTGGTGGAATCCTGCAGGACTGCAGCGCAGACAAGGAGGGCGGGCCTGGGACGGTCGGCCGGGTTGCCCCACGAAATTTGCGGACAGCGGTGATTGTTTTACCAGCCAACAGCTTTTGAATCTATTGGTCGTCATGGGCAGCTGCACGTGGACGCTGCATTAACAGCGTCCAGAGCAACAGCCATTGACGGATATGACCTGAATTCAAGACCGCCAGGAGATATCCAGCCTGCTGCTCGACCCCCCTCGTCTGCTCATCAACCACTTTTGGCACATGCTTGAGAAGCACCGTAATTGACTCTATGGCCGGAAAGTCAAATGCGCCAGAAACAGGTGCCGAACTGAATGCACGGAAGCCAGGGTGTTCGGGCCAACAGCACATTCAGCAGCTTGCACAACTGCACAATGCCGATACAGGTTCAGGAGGAGAAACGCGCGCCTAGTGTCCAATTTCCTCACTTCAATGCCGCCAGCGCCCTCGCCCGACACTGTGACCTTGCTTGTTCGCTGGTGCCTTCTTCAAGCATCGCAGTTGCGCATTGCAAAGCAAAAACTCTGCATATGATGAAGAACTGCATTTCGATTGAAAATCAAACCGCGCCCATTCAATATCGATGAACGGTACTCCTAAACCTGTCCATCATCGCCTCTTGGGAACAGTAAGACTGCTGTGTGCACCGGGCCCCGCACCCCGCCGGCCCACCCCACTCCCATTCCCCCACCCACCACCCAACCGTGGAAATCGATGCTGATTAACATCTAATAACGCCCAGAACCTGTCGAACAATCACCTGCAACTGCAGTGACATGCAACCCAGCTCATGCGCAGGTGGTTGTTTGAGGCAGATGGCCACACGACAGCCACTGGCATCTAATGTCTTTCCCTGCAGAGTCCTGCAGCATCAGCAACTGCAAATGTCAAGTCGCCGCTTCCACAGCAATCAGCCAGTGCTGGGTCCCAGCACGAGCTGCTCCACTCCTCTTCACTTCTACTCATGATGTCGACCCGGATTCCTGATCGCACTCAGTTTCTTCTCTGTTCTGCTGGGCCCCACACATTGAAGTGCGAATTCATCGCACTTCCGCCCAATGCATGCCCAAAGGGATTTGACGCCGTTCAGCGTTGGAAATGAAAACACATCCCATCATTTGGCACAATGGCCGTGGTTTACTTGCGCACTCGACAGCCAGGTTGTTGCATTCATGCAGCCTTTCCTGGCAGCTCGCGTTTCACCACCAAGCGCTGCGGCTGGGGCAGCAGGAATGCAACAAAAAACGTCCATCTACTCAGAGGCCAAACATTGCAGTCGAAGCTCCACTCGACTGTGTGATGGCCTCCACACATATAAAATCAGACATGCCGCCCTATGACAGTGCCTGGATAGCCATATCAGCTCACGGTGGGGGCCGGACAATGGCTTACACGAGAATTCCAACACATTTGCCTTTCTTCCCTTGCACATCCACGTCGCAACCCATCCAGATCAGTCAGGCCGACACCCTGCCCGCCAGGCAACGGCGAACGGGCAATCAACCCCTCCCGGCAGCGCATGCGCTGTGCAAAAACCCAGGAGTCTGCCTGCGCGTCGCTGAGCGGGGAGACCGTCCGCCAAGCGGGGCAGTCCTTCGTTGAGCCCACGACCCACTGTTCAAGGCCCCGGGCCTCTCCTCGGGGCGGCGTACCCCCTTCCGCCGTTGGACTTCCTGCCCCCCCGGCTCCCTCTCGGCCGTGGGGGGTTGTCTCTCAAGGGACGAGGCGGCTGCGGCTGCTGCATGCCTGGGCCCTGCATGGGGTGCATGGGGGGATAGGGCTGAAATGCGCCTGGAGGCGGCATCATGGGCCCAGCGAAGTAGTGCATTGCGTACGGGGCACCCATTGGGGGCCCCGGGTAGAACGGCGTCATCATCTGCGGCCCAGGCTGACCCATCGGGGCCATGCCGCCCTGCCACATGGGATGCGGGTATTGCATCATGGGTGGGCCTCTCCCAGCATCGGGGTAGAAGGGCACGCCTCGGTGGGGCGGCGGGGGTGGCTGGCCGGGTGGTGGGGGCGCCATCTGCTGCGGCATCATCTGGTGTGGCATGAGCTGGGGAGAGCGCCGACCAAGGTGGCCCATGGGGGGCGGGGGCTGGTCCTTTGGGCCTGGGGGAGGTGGGGCAGGCATGTGATGGTGCAGCCTCACGTCCATCGGCCCCATGGCTCCAGGCTCCGGCGAGCTGAGCACCTTGCCCAGCCTTGATGACTCCGTGTCCACGGCATCCGATGCGCCCCCCGAGCCTTCCGACGTCGGGGCCTCCACCTTGGATGATTCTCCAATGGATGACGTCCGAGGAGACTGATGGCTCTCCGCGGCACCGCCATTGAAGCCAGCGCCTGGCAGGAATGGCCGTGCAAAGGGGTTGAGATTGCCCACTTGGGATCCCGAAAGTGTTGATGCAATGTCGATGGACGACCCGATCGACGGGTGCCTGGCCATTCGAGGACTGGGCGCCGGCCTTGGAGGGGGGGCAGGCTGTGCGTAGACCGTGGGCTCCCCATAACCCACCAGAGATGGCTCGATCTGCCCAAAGAGGATCGGCACGTTGGACGAGGGGCTCATCGCACGTGGCGGGGGCGGCGGTGGAGGCTGGCCCGGCGGCGGAGGCTGGCCCGGTGGTGGCGGGATAGGCATCGGGGGTGCAGGTGGCTGAGGAAAGTTTAGGAGCGACCTGGGTTGTGAGCGGGGCGACGCCTTCACCCCTCGGTCGTTGGGACAAAGGCCAGGAGCAGAGCTTGTGCTGCTGTTCAGTGGGCCTGCACTGTCCTGGGGCGGGGCTTTAGAAGCTGCCCTTGTCGTCTCGGTTGCGATCGGGGCCTTCCTGTGGGGTCACAGAAATAAATGCTGTCAGCAGCCTGCTCCCTGGACAGATGCAAGGTCGCGCGGCTGGTGCAAAGGAGCAGGACAGCAGCAGTGTCTTTCGTATGGGCTGCAAAGGCAGCAAGAAACATATTTCCATTTTATTCTGCACTCTTTTGGCCTACGAAATTGAGCTGGCCCTTTATGCACACACCCCACAGTGCTGTTAGTCTGCAGTGCATGCATGTAAATGAAAGGGTGGGCAGGGCGAACGTCACTCACGTGGGCTTCTGTTGCTTGAATCGCCTAAACTGCTGCATCGTCTCGTTGTCCACCCTTGTAACCCCTGGATTCAAATTCAGTGCCGCAAAGCTCGCTGGGTCCCTGATCAGGGGAGAATTGTTGAAAGGAGAGCCGTAAGGCGATGGCTTGTCCTTGTTTGTAATAAGGGACTGGTGAATCTTGTTGACCTCCTGTCTTGACCAAGCCGGATCCGTCTGCTGGGCTGAAGACACCTGGTCAGGGGCCTTGGAACTCGGGGTGGGCAACGGCTCAGTGGCCATCCGAATTGCCCCATTGCCCCCACGCACCATGTCCGCATAACTCGCAGTCTTGGGCGACCCCCCCCGGCTGCCCTGGTTTCCTGCCGGCGACTGTGGCTTGTCATCAACTGGCTCTGACATGTCCATCCCCACTGCTGAGAACAGAGTCTCCTCATCCAGCTGTGGGTACAAATGGAGCGTGCAAACACACACATACACACACACACACACAACCAATCATGCACTTCCTTGGTAAGCAGGGCGGTCATGCAAGCAGAAGACAGGCAGCGAAACGACAAGGAACTCGTGAGAAAGCCAGATACAACCAACACTATCCAGTCCCACATCGCTTTGCTTCGGCGTCTAGGTTCGCTCCATCTTCGTGGACGAATGGACGAAAGCCGCCTAGGGATTGGAAGCAAACACTGCTGACAGATTTCTGAGCGCGCGAGGCCAGGAAGCGGAGAATGTGCGCTGCGCCAGTGTCTGGGGAAGGGCGCGTGCATCAGCGGCTCACCCCGGAGTCGTCAATGTGCTGGTTCCTCTCCTGGGCGGTGTGGATGTTCGACGCCGACGTGGCCTCGATCTCCCGCGCGATCGCGTCCGCCTGCTCCAGCGTGTACCGCGACTCCGCCTCGTTCACCTTCGACGTGTACAGGTTGGGGTCGAAGCTCGTCTTGACGCCGAACATGCGCTCGTTGGCCTCGAACTGGTCCCACCGGTCCGTGCGGGGGCCCGCCTCCAGCCCCTGGCACGCCCCGCCCAGCCCCCCCCGCGGCGCCTCCAACCCCTCCAGCGACTCATCGGGCATCCACGGCTGCAGCTCGCGGCCGATCAGCCTGCGGCGATCCCCAAAACACCCCTCAATCCTCCCCGGCCGCGCGATCGACCGACGGGAAACGCTCTGTCCCCGCCGAAAAGTCTAGTGGCTCCGCATTCTCGCCAAGAACACTGCATCCCAGCGGCTCCCCTGGCTGTCCGAGCGCTGGGCAGGGCCCGGCGCAGCGAACTTGCACCTGGGGCGATTCGTCTCGCGATCGGCGCGACACTCACCCCGCCATGTTGCCCCGCTGGGCCCCCCGGTCGCCGGAGAACGCGTCCAGGCCCCTGCGCCACGCGCCCGCCCCCGTCGGGCTGTCCCGTCGATCCGCGCCGCCCCTCGCCCGGGCCTGCCCGCCGGCCTCCCGGCTCCGGGCGCCGGGGTGCGGCACGTTCACCGCGCGCATCTGGCACAGGTCCTGGCTGTACACTACCAGGCGCTCCACCACCGCCCCCACCTCCCGCCCGTCGCCCTCGCCGCTGAGCTTCCTGGCCTTGCAGAGCACGATGTGCGTCTGGCTCTTCGCCAGGCCCGGCGTGTGGAAGATGCCCTCGTATTCGCACCCGCTCTTGGTCTGCGGGCGCCGGACCAGGGACGCGTCAGAGGGCGCGCGCGCACCCGCACACCCCGCCAGAGGGGACAAAAAAACACACAGCAGCGCTCGCCATGCGCAGAGCAGCGGCCCGGCGCGACTGGCCGCGCACACAGGCAGGCGCTCCCTTCCAGGGATCATATATCAGCCCATTTCTCACACGCGAGCCCACACACTCACACACACACACACCGCATTGCCCTCGGGAGCCACACTCACCTGCACGGTGACGGGGTGCCCCACACACACCGCAAAGGCGAACAGCAGCGCGGGGGAGTACCCGCCCGCCTGCTCACCCTGGCCCTGGCTAGCTCCGGTCCCCGCCTTCAGCATCCTGTGCGCCTCCACGCCGTTGGGCGGCCTGCCCTCGATTGGCCCCCGCCGGCTGGCCGGCGGACCGGGCCCGGGCATCTTGGGCGAGGGCGCCTTGCGCGCCATGGCCGCGGGCGGCGCCGGCGGCTGGGGCCCCGGGGTCCAGTCGTCCGGCTCCGTGTTGGCTCGGTTGGCCGCCGCTGTGGAGCCCGGCGGGGGCCGGGGGCCGCGCGGGGGGGTGGGGGGGGGTATACTCGCGGGTGGCCGGGGCGGGTGGCTGGCAGGGGAATGTTGACTCCGACGGCCTTGGGAGCGCAGGTGTAGGCGGCGGGGGCAAGGGGAGGGGGGGGGGTACGCGTGCCGTCACGGATTGGGTGAAAAAACTGTTACGCCAATTCGCGCACCCGCGTTGGAATCGCGTGAGGCGTACCCGTCCACGTGTGTCGTACTAGGGGGGGGGGGGACCTTGATGTTCAACTCGTGCGAGAAGTGTTTACAAATCGATCGAAGGCGGAGCGGTAGCCAGAAGCTTCTGGCGACGAAATCTGTGCGCTGTGAAAATGAATGATGACAAGCAGACCGTTGTGAACCTCGGCTCACACTTGGCTGAATGCGGACAAGATGAGGGCCATGTTTGCGGCTCGTGTGGGGAATGCAGCAAGAAGGGTCAGGAGCCAGCAGTGGAGCCGCGTGTCGATGGGCTGAATGACTGAAAATCCACGTGTTGTGACCCACCGACAGGTGGCTACACCACTCCATTGCGGATGCTACAATAAGCGGGGAAGGGGAGGATTGGCATAATACAGGGTTTAGACATTTGAAGACGACGGAGAGGCCCTCTTGCTGCATGCTTTCATGCCTCAGCTGCTGCATTTTGCCGGCCTCCATTGTGTATATCGCCTCGGCCACACGTTCGGGAGCGTCGTCAGCAAGAGCGCCTGTGCACTGCCAAACTGGCCACGCAACAACTACCCAGGGGCGCCAATGCACCCTGCGCCGGCTCGGCGTCCTCAGCTGCACCAGAATCCTGGCCACAGTCAAGCATTACCGGCGCAGCGATGCGCACCCCCCATATTGCCCCAGATGCAACCGCTCCATGCAAGTCTCCAGCTGATTTTCAATCCCTCAATTCAAATTTTCAATTGTTCAATTCAAAGAAGAACGAAAACAAAAGGAGAGCAAAAGGAGGACAGAAGCAACGCCTGTCACTGCTGGTACATTGTCCTCCCCCTGCTCCTCAGCACGGCGCCCTCCATCCACCAGGGCGCCTTCCCGGCCCCCCTGCCCTCCCCTATGCGCGGCCCCCGCCGCCACTGGCCCACCATCCCCCAGGGGCTCACCGGCCCCCTGGGCCCCGCCCCGGCCTCCCAGTTCCCTTGGGGCCCGCCGGCCGGCACCGCGCCCACACAGGCCGGCGTCGCGGGCAGCGCGGACAGGATCCTCGACTTCAAAAACGGCGCCAAGGACGAGGCCTCGACCTCGGCCACCAGCTGGTCGACTTCCTTGTAGCTGCCGACGTCCCGCCGGCGGTGCGGCTGGTGACCGCGCAGCCACGCCGGCCACGAGCGGCTCACGAGCGCTGTGAGGACATGCGTCAGAAACTCGAACAGCTGGTCGCCGCACGGCGTGTGGCCCTGACGCGGGCGGCCCCCGCAGGGGGGGCCCCTGGGGCCCTGCCACAGGTAGGGGCAGCCCAGGATCTGGATGACGGACTGGGTGAGGATGGACCGGAGGTTGCCCTGGGACTGCTTGTCGCCGTGCACGATGGGCAGCAGGGGCAGGAGGACGGCTAGGCGCAGCCAGATGCTGTCCTGGACGGCGGCTGGCGGACCGGGCAGGTCCCTGGGGGGGTCCTTGGAGGACTCGCCGGCGGACTTCTTGTAGCCGGAGCCGCCGAAGCCCCGGGAGGGGCGGCGGTCGCCCAGGAGGGAGCCCAGGGGGTCAGGCTCAGCGGACTCTGGCTTGGAGGCCTCGGGCGCCGCGCCGGGGCTGGTGCGCTTCAGCGCCGCGGCGATGGTCTGCAGCTGGAGGACCAACTGCAGGCACAGTTGCTACGAAATCTGCGTCAGTGGCGTCCGCCTACTCTTTCATTTAAGACGTCGCGAATCAAGGAATGTCAAGAATTGGTCTGAGTCATGGGAGGTGTTCCTGCTATGAATCTGAAACAAGATCACATGCGCCAGCCAGCGACAAATTTCGATGGTGGGCCTTCGGACGACAACCGAGGCTGTCTCGTGAACCTCATGACAATTTCATATGCTTATACATTACATATAGTTAATAATATCTATTACAAGTTCATATGCTTGGCATTCGCACACGGCGGGTGACAACGTGCGCGACTCACAACGGTTTGATTACACTGGACTTTATTAATTTCTGAGTTCCAACAGATAGCAATATAGTGGTTGGTTGGATTATGGTAATATCGTGATTATCACTGCACAAAAATCATGGACGCAGTTTTCTTCGAGCGGAACAGGTAGCTCGTGGCTAGCTCCTCGCTCAGTCTGCAGCATTTCGTGTTCATGACACAAGACCGTCAAATAGCAGTTCCGTTTGCCCAGCGGTTTTCCACAGGCGAAGAGACGAAATCCGGTCCAGACTGGAGGAAAACTTCATCCACAGTCGGCGGAGAGAATATCTGATATAAACTTTAGAGAAACCCAGTCCGCCCTGCAGAGGATTGATATACTCCGCAGTCCGAGTCGCCAACGCCACTGTGAGCGGTCGCCAGACGCTGACACAGTCACAACGATTTCGAACACGTCGAAACGTCCTTCCCGTTTCCCCACTTCTTTTCTTCAGACCTCCAATTGTGAGGCGTGCTAACAACCCGTCCTCGACACATGCGCCATGCGCATCTTGTCAAGGAAACTGCAGCCCTCCCAAGAAAGGAGCACGAGCCACAAAGGGGGCTTCAGCCCAGTCCCAGCGGCAGGGAAGAGTGAAGAGCACACGACTTCGCATGCCTGTGGCCGAAATTTCAAAGCCCACCCTTCGTTGATTCTCACACAGGAAATGTGGGCTGCGACAGGCTACGCCAGAAAACCCACCTCTCGGGCAAAGTCCCTCCGCCTCCCAGGAGAGCCCCTGTCCAGGCCCACCAGCGCCATCTCTGCCAGCCCCACTTCAATTTCGCACCGCCTGACAGCACCGCCGCGCACACCCCCATCCCCATCGCGTTCCCTCCCGGGGATGACTTGTGACACAGGAACCTGCCCCAGGACGCTCCACTTGCCTGGGTTCTTCGAGCCCGCACGGTCCTGCAGACCAATATCTCTCCAAGTCAGCATTGAGAGCTGGCGATGCGAGCTTACTTGCAGCCAGCATCAGTTCGGAATGGGCCTGAAAATGCCACAGCAATGACACGATGTCCCCTACTGTGACATTCCGGTAATCGTCTGTCGAGCGATCAGCTTCGCTGCATTTTAAAATGACAGTACGGGGTGAGGTGATGTCCAATTGTTTGTGGGTCACTATCGATGTAGGCTTCCTTAAGCACCAACAGGTGTGGCAACAGGACAAAAGGCTGCAGCTTGGTCACCAACAAATGGAACAGTTGCATGCGCAACCTGACCCTGGATTTCAAGCTGCTCATGTTTTATCATGGCCGTTGCACTCCTGAATTTGTGTGCGCGTTTGTGGGTGTCATGAAAAGCGACGTTTGCAATGGGGAGAACAAACGTATGCAAGCATTCAGGAACGGTTCGATGGTTCACAGGCAAGGTTCTACAGTTTCAGATTCGGTATTTGTTGCTCATCGGCAATCTGTTTTCTTCATTCACCGTTGTTCGTTCACGAAACATTGCAGGAAATGCATGCATTTCTGGTTCCCACACAACAAGCTCCAAGAACACAATCCCACTGGGCAACGACACGCTTTTCTGATCCGCAGAACCGCAATGTGCAGAGGTGCCAGCCACACCTGCAGGATCCAATCTATCCTAGTCAGGAGGTACTCGCCCACACCCTTCCCAAGTTGCCATGCAACTTCGGCCAATACAGGTGCAGCCTTGTGTCGCAGGCACAGTTGCGACAGCAGCATCGTGATAAACTCCTTCTGTGCGTCAACAACCTCTGTGGACTGTGGAGCTGCCCAATGTTTGTTTCGTTGCCAGTTGTCGAGAAACTCTGGCCCCTCCTCCTTCAGTTTGGAGCCCAAATCCTGGCGAAATGCGCACCATCGTCAGCAAAAAATATTTACTTGCATTGTAGCAGAAATCCTTGACAATTGCATTCATACCCGATCTGCCACCTTTTCACGCCTCAAGCGATGTCAATGGTGTGCTTCAACAATGCCATCACCCACAGCCAGGACCATTCTGTGGACGAGTTTACAAATCTCCATTGCCAGCTGTCTGGTGTCCATCAATGCCCACAAAATAGGGATGGCCAGGTATAGAAGAACTATGACATGCAGATTATGCCACAATCCAAGTGACATGTGTTCCCATAATCTCATCCCTGTCCTGATGCTGCAGATACAAGCATGGCAGCATTTTCAATGAAATGCAGTTGCAAAGTACAGGCACTGTGAAGCATCCACCCGACAGCATCAGCACCACAGATCTTGTCCTACCCTGGGGTCCTAAATGCTTCCTTGAACACAGGCCAATTCTGTTTTTTACACATTGCATGAGACCACAGACCCCTGCACAGCAGTGGTTCATCAACAATGACTGCAGGGAAGTTTGGCAACGCAAATTCACCTGCTGAACCACAGACCATCCCAGGCAGCTGCTGGAGAGAGGCTGTCTAGTGCATGTAATATCGCACCGATCTCAACTCAGTGCCGTGTGTTGATGGTCTATACATTTGATAGGCAGGCTGCAACTACCAGAACAACACTCTCAGACACTGAAGCCATGAACAAGCTAAAGCACAGCTCACACGGGCCCCTGCTGCACATACCCTTGGAAACCATGCACGCAATGAACAAGTAATTTATGCTTTGATGCACAAAATAGATTGGTCCTAATCTCAGCCCAACTACCTGCTGTTTCAATGGCCTTGAGAACAATGAAGAAACATATTCTTCTCACACATCTGCATGTGTACTACAGGTGTTTACAAACTTTTACAAGCACATGTCTTTCGAACAAATGCTAATAACCAGCCACATT